GACTGAACCAGTGTTGTGGAGTAATGAATCTAATACGTCGTTTATAAAGCATTTACAAGGCATGCGATTAAAATATGGGTGCATAGTGGTATAAGAGCTATTATGCTGACTGTATCCATCTTTATTCAGCAATATTGTAAAGCAATGCAATGAAATCTAATAATGGAGCTAGAAAACAATTATTAGATGCTATTAAATCAATTGAAAACAGTCGAATTAAAGCGTCAATGTATGTGCAAATTACACTTATTCAGTTTGTTATTAGATCAAACTTCTGGCGATGAATTGGGAAGACAGTCAACGTTTATACAGCTTTTAATAATAAAATTAATCAGCTCAGAGCAAACAGTGGAATAAATGTGGCTCTGTCGATCTTAATGAGCTTTTTTCAGCACATAATTCGACAACTCGTTTTATTCAGCATTGTACATTGTAATACCGCATTCATTCAATATATATATGCTTATTTGTGACTCTGAATTGGTTGTTGGGTTGTATACTGAATAACTCAGATCAAAATTATCACATATGTCGGCACTTATGTACCTTTTGACTTTTGATTGCTTGCTTTAACTTGGCTGCTCTCCCGAGCAAAGTCTGAGATCAAATTGAAATCTAAATTTGATGTTGTGATTTCGCTGATAATGATTACCCAGGTTGCTGTCTTTTTGGTCGCTTTAACGGTTAAAATATCACATTTGATTTTTCCTGTTGATAACAAAACAACTATTCAATTTGATGTTATGCTAAGGCCATGAAAACAAACCCGCAACAACATATTTCTGAAGAGCAAATGTACAGCAAAATGAAAACAAAATTAGGTATAAAATTTGTCAATTGCGTAAACTGAAATCAAATTATGATAGCAGTTTGATGTTGATATCAAAACTTGATTTCAATTTGCTGTCATTTTGATGCTGGACTTTGCTCGGGCTGCTACTTAGAAAGTTGCTGTCTTTGGAAAAGTTGTTCAGATACGTCTGTCTTGGACTTTCATTTTATTTGCCGTTACTTGGGAAATGGTGATTACACAAAGCTGGAGTACTTTTTGAATTGGTTGTCAATTAGAGTCAATTAGAGAAACGAAGTGTTTTTGTTATTTCTATTTTCAATGAGATAGATAATACTTTCAAAAATTCCATTAACCAACATCTCAGGAGTGATGCTATCGACTGAGCAAGGTATTGATAGCATTCATGTTGAAAAAGAAACGTTTATTATAATGAGTAATATCTCACGGAAAGCGTAGTTATCATTTAATAGACCACCCACAATCGTTTTACATTGAAGATTTGCAAAATTTGCACATTTTTTAGGAAAAACACAACAGGTCTTATGTACAGTTTTTACGCTACTGACAAATTTGTTACATACGACGATTGACACCCCCATAGAAGTTAGGTGTCGTATGTAACATTGAGCTATGTTTTGATTAGTTGGCACATAGACAAATAGTTTTTTGATGAGAAAATGAAACAGAAATGAGGTAGCGGGCCCAAATTTTGCCTTTAGGAAGAATAACCAGAGTAGTGTTAGGTAGCATTAAATGTCAATTTTTTACGTTTGCTACATACGACCTATTCAAAAAGCACTCCAGAAAGCCCCCTTTTTTTTGTCGATTACCCATATTCTTGTTTTCGTTCGAACCATTCGAACCAAACACATTTTTTTTGTTCGAACAAAAACAAGAATTTGGGTGAAAATCTTACGATATATTATGATATAAAATATATGAAAAAAAGAGAACAAAGAATAATGAAAGTTATGAACTGCATGTTGTATATATGGCGTTAAATCCATTCTATTGGGTGTATAATATGCTTCCATGGAACAATCAAATTGACATTTCATTTATTCAATTACAACGTTTGCTATTTTAAAGATTTTTAATTGAGCGAAGGTAAAGTAAAGAAAAACTGAATTTAAGTTAGCTTAAAAAAGTTTTTTGTTGAATGCCAATTGTTTGTCATAGGTCTGCAACATAAAGATTTGTGATGTCAGGTGCACTTTGATTTCTAAAGTTATTTTAGTTATTCAAAACGTATAGGGAATTTCTATCCGTGCATGATTATGGACACTTCCAACACTTACAGATTTTACAAATTGTTACCAAATGTGGAAAGTGCAAAAAAAAAATTGAAATTGGAATATGAGCAATACTTAAATTTTTAAGATTTTAGGATTTTCGAAAATTTTTAAGATATGTGCTGAGGTTTGGATAGATACTGAATCTTGGACATTTCAATATGCTGAAAAAATTTGATTGTGATTAGAATTCCAGGTGAATTTTAAGGAGAAATCAATGGTATTCTGAATATAATGTATAAGGAATTCTTGAGCGAATAATTATCCAATCCTGAGTATTATCTAAATGAAAACTATGCAGAAATCTAACAGAATTGAACTCTGAAGAAATTCTGAAATGGAAAGAAATTTTTAGGAGTTTCAAGGAATTTCAGGAGATAATTCAAAGGAGTATTCTAAGGGGCTTCTAAGCATAGTTCAAAAGAAATTCTAAGACTATTCTTATGAGAGTTTCAAGAGACAATTCCGAGAAGAATTTCAAGAGAACTTGGATGAGTGTTCAAAAAAAAAGCCTGAAGAGAATTTCATATATTCGAAGATAATGTTGGTTAGAACTTCTATTTTTTTTTCCTTTGGTTTGTTTTCAGTCGATCTTGTTTTCCGTGCTGAGCACCAATGCTACCGCCGCCAGGGAGGCAGCTCCCACACCTTGACCCTACCTATCGACCCATCAACTACTCATGAACCGGGGACCAACGGCTTTACTTCCCTTCCGAAGGAAGACGTGATCAGAGATGTTATGCCTCAGAACATCCCGGCGACGCCGACTGGGATTGAACCTAGGCCTGCTGGGGTGAGAGGTAATCACGCTTACCACTACACCACCGGCGCCGCTCTTGTCAGAACTTCTAGTGGTGTAGTGTTAAGCGTGGTGCTTTCTCACCCCAATGGGTCTGGGTTCAATCCCAACCAAGGTCGGTGGGATTTTTCTGAGGTATAAATATCTCTGGTCACGTCTTCCTTTGGAAGGGAAGTAAAGCCGTTGGTCCCGGCCCATGTGTGTTTGGATGGGTGCGATATCCGACGCAGGTGTGGAAGCTGCCTCCCTGCACAGTCGATTGCCGTCAATGGATGATTGGCACTAGATTGCGGAACAGAGACCGACGTTAAATAAATGAATAAATAAGAAGGAGAAGAAGAAGTTATAAGTTGCAAGCTTCTACTCTGCTAGCTGTCCATATACCATGGACAGTTTTAGAGCGGTTTTAGATTCCCCTCCGTGGATAATCATCCAAATATTTTTTGAAAATATGCATGGACCGTGGACATTTGCCAACCCCCAAAGTGTCCACGTGGTATAGGGACAATACTAATGCAAAAATGGTACAGGCTTAGAAAGCTTTCAATTTACAACTGTGGAAGTGCTCAATGAACAATATGTTGAGGACCGGTGAAAATCCCAGTATGGACATAGCAAAGCCAAAGAAAAAGAACCGTCAACAATATTCTAAGGTAAACAAAGAAAAAAAAAATAGGAAAAATAAAACCGCGCAAAATGGTTAAAATTCAATATAAGTACGTTTTCAAATCAGATTTGATATAAGATTCCATTTTCTTGAGTTAGTTTTGAAATATACCGTGTATCTCAAAATTGAGTGTACAGCTGTCCGCCCATTTCAGAAAAACAGCTGTACGAGCACAAATTAAAAATATAGATTTCTAAATTTTAGGCTGCTGACTCATCATGCATTTATTGGTTATCGGTATAGTATTGGGCTTATTTAGATGAGTGTGTAAGAGGTTAGAGCTATTTTAGAAAAAAAAAACTAGATTTCCTAAAAAAAAACACCTTTTCTTGAAATACAATGAGCCAACCATATTGCTAACCTGTATTCACAATAAAGGCCCAAGCGCAATGTGGGCGGAAGCGGAACGGAAACGGAAAGTTTGACAGTTGTCACAAATGGCATCAAGATGCCTAACCGAAGTCGATTTGATTTAACTAGTTTTCAATCCGACAAGTAGGCTTACTCAGATCGGGCTTTTCCGCTGCCGCTGCCGTTCCGCTTCCACTGTCATTGCGCTTGGGCCTTAAAGATCTTTAAAATGCTGCTAATTTTACTAAAATCCGCCTACTATTAAAAAAGTTGAAAATCGACCGATTACTGAAATTACTCAAACTTTCTACATACTCTGCCAATAAAGTCCAAAGCTATACTGATAAATCAATAAATAGTGGTTCAACCACTAGCCAAGATTTCAAAAATCTATTTACTGTCTTTCAAAAAAAAAAAATGCCCATTCAGGTGTACGCTCAATTTTGAGATACCTTGTATGTATATAATTTGGCCTAAGCAGCGTTTAACATAGACAGTTCACGATTTAAATTATAATGGAGGTTTCGAAGAATACGAATTAATCGTCTAAGTACAGGCAACTCTCCCTACTTGATATTCTCTTAACTCGACGAGATCCAGACTACATACCTAGATCAATTTTGTCACACAAATTTCCTTTTCCTCCATAATTCGTTATCCTTCCTAAATCGATGGTTCCTTCAATACCAAGATAAGAGAGAGTTGATCGTGATTATACCAGTTTTGAATGAGTGTAAAATGTTTATTATTCATCCAACTGCGACGTTATTCCGCTTATACTTCAACATTTAGCAATACATTCGAGCAACGAAAGCCGTGGACGAAACCTAAATTAGCGACGTGTTGAGTAAAGATCGAATACAAGGGACAATAAATCGATCAATCTATGTAATGTTTTTAGATAAGGTACGACCAAATCATAAAAGTCAAATCTTCATTATTCTATTTGTAAAAATTCTTGTTCATCTATGTCAAAAGTTATGTTTTAGATTAGCAATAAAATCAAATGAATTGTATTTAGTTTACCCTTTAACCAAACGCCGTCACTAGAATAGTAAGATAGGTATCTAAAACTACATCGACAGAGAACTTACTGAATCACCGCTGTGATGCCGGTTTTGGCTTTGGCATCTTTTCCAGCAGGCCTTGTATTTCCTTTTCATCATAACTTTTCCACAATTCGAAAAGGTTCAAGATAGCCCTGGCAATTTCTTGTACCTTCTCCATGTCCACATTCAATTCAGCGAACCATGCCTTGAGTTCTTTTTGCAAGATGACACAGGCGATCTGCAGGCAACCAATTGCTATCTACAAAGGAGGACACAGTTAGTTACATAGATTCTTTCAGACGCCATAGGAGCAACCGTACCTGGTACGGTGGATACAGTAAGCTAACATCCGTTCTTAGGGAATCGTTGATTAGACGCCACGTAAGCGTGAGAAGCTGATCTTCCTGACCGATATCTTGTATCAGCTGCAGCAGAGGACGATACGGTTGATACACGATCAAGCAGCAGTCGAGATTTTCCAGTAAATAAAATTCACATTCCAGGATGTGATTTGTTCGATAAGGGAATTCTTGCTGATATGCATAGCTGAATTTGTTCTTGATCACCGTTTGGCAAGTGGTGATAAGCCGGGAGTTGGAAATGACTCCGAATTCTTCGACTTTGGACGCCAGCAAGATACACGTCGGTGCCAGCAATAGGGGATCGATGCATTTGAGAGAATTGCGGGCATAAAAACGTTTGAAATACACGGTGGCAGTGGCAATTACTTGCTGGCGTAGCTTGAGCTGTTCGCCGAGAGATTGAATCACATTTGCGAAGAACATAAAGATTTTCTGATACTCTTCCTCGGTGAGGTTTTTTAGATCGTGTTGCCTCTCGCGTATGAGATCCTGCTTATCCAATATCCATTGTTGATGATGAGAACTGTGCCAAAAGTTTCCGGCCATACTAATTTAGGCAATTTTTTTCTAGATTTTATCTATAATTCTTGGTAACACAGTAATGATAATATTATTTGCAGACAAATTTAATGTCCGCACAAAACTGTCGGAAACACTGCTTTTGTTTTGTTTTGTTGCTGCACGGACGTAAAAATGTCAAGTTTACTCGGTTTACTCCGTTTACTCTGGTTTACTCACTTTCTATTTTTTTTTCAAACACGGTAACCGCAAAATACCCAATAATGACTACAAAACAACCATTTTTGGGGGAAACTATACACTGATAAATTGAAGTATTCCCATTTTGCTTGAAATTTAATCAATTTGACATTAAACTCAGTTTAATCATATCGAATGATTAAACATTAATCCTCTCTTTCTAAAAAATAAGCATCTGATATTAATCCCAGTTTAATCATGGTTGATTAGATTGTAGATTATCTTTTCTTGAATAAATTTTAATCATTTTTGATTCTATTTTAATAATTTTTTATTGAATTTTAATCTTTTTTGCTTATATATCAGTATTGAAAAAGAATTAAATTTAATACCGGAAAGATTATTTCGAATTTAATCATGCATGACTAGTGCCGAAGTAATCATGGCTCGGACTCAATAAGGTGAAGCGGGAAACTGCATACTTTTTTAAGCTTTTTTGATTTAATTTATCTTTGAGTGATAGGTACCACCATGGTGGGTATATAAATAGTGATACAGCTTTGTCACTATATAGGCGAGGAGGTCGTGATGGGGGGGGGGGGGAGTTCTGTTTTAGAGCAAATTGTACACAAACTCGGTCGCTGTCCCATACAAAAATCCAACATGGCTGAATCATGAATTTGCACATTAGAACACCTAAATGTACCACAATACAATTGTTATGAATATTTTACCAATTTTGCTTAACGTCGTGTTCCAGGTATCATACAAACCATTTGTAAAATAGTTATATGATTTGGGTTATCATTTGCTTATGGTACTTTTTACACAGAAAAAAAGTTGTTGAATATTACATCCAAACTGCTACAACCAGGTCAATCCATCGGTCGTGTAATACAACGTTGTACGATGTACATCGATATTGCGAACAAAATTACATCCATTGATGTAATATTGTATCTGCTTTTTGCTATTACGTCATTATTTCACACATCTGCTTGAATTATATTGATCGATATTACATTTTTTTTTGCTGTGTATTAGGGTACCCAGGAAACCACTAAGCACTGTATTAAGGGTTAAATTTACAATGTAGCTCCTATATGCACTGTGAAATATGTTACTATACAACTCAATAAGAACCGCTTCACCATGCGGCCAGTAAAATGTGTAACGGCAAACTTTCAATATTGGAAAAATCATACCTCAGCCATTTATTGACGAATTTTTAATCTTTTGATGTCATTCGAGACTTCATACTTTAAAAATATTTATTTGGTATCAACAGGTTTAAAATCTTTCAATAAATTGCTGAGCAATGTATCAATTCCAATTTGCCGATACACATTTTACACAAGACATCGTGTTCGGAGTGTTAAATCTCGATGAACATTTCAAATGGTCCTATTTGCTTTGATCGATTCTCTTCATCGACTTTCTCTTTTTATAACAACTGATATGCAAACCGATTTCGTGCTATTTTTACCACATAGTTTGATAAAGGAGGTTTTTTTCGTACTCAAATTTTTGGCTCAGCTCTGTTACTCTCTTCGGTCCCAAGCTAATCGATGCACCCCTCGAAACATAGGAAAATCCAAGAACCCCACTTTTTATCTGTCAAACTTTCATAGCGAATAAAAACAAACATAGTGTAGTATTAGAATTTCGGCTAAAATGGGGTACGTTGATCGATTTGCTTGGGACCACTTCAGCATAAATAAAAACGTCAGAGAAGTCTGTAAGTGGCATTTCCCTAATAAACAAAAACCACACATGAACGATAGCCCAAACGGTTGAAATATTCCACAAATGGTTTGGATGGTATCCTAACACGTCGTCAAGCAAAATAATCAAACAAATATTATTAGGGTTTTCAAAAAAAAAAATGGTATGGCATCCCTAATAAACAAACATCATAAATGGACGATAACCTAAATGTTAGAACTATTCCACAAAAAGTTTGGATGATACCCTGAACAAGTCGTTAAGCAAAGTAACCATGCATATTTTATTAGAGATCCGTGCAAATGCAAGGGCCACATTACGTAACTAAAACAAAACGATTTTTTCATGCCTGTTTCCATACGAAAAACGCTTCGTTTTGACCTCGGTTTTGACTTTCTCATGAGGCCCCATGAAAAAGGGTGAATAAGTTTAAACTCTGAATAGTTTTAATTTTCAGTATACAGCGTAACTGAACCTGAATGATGAGGCATCCCTGGGAATATCGTCTGATTTTGGGTAGATTGTAAGTTTGTTTGTTATTATTGTTAGTTTAAGATATGTATATGCAAAAAAATCAAATATTTTAGTTTGAAAGTAACGAGCCAGACGGGCTACGTTCAAAAACCCCTAACCCCTGGTCAAGCCACGGAGGTCGTCTGGGGTGGGCTTCATCCGCCTCTTTTATGGGTTAGCTCACCTTTTAATTCTCAGGGTCGGCCACCGACCTCGGGAGGACTCAGAATCAACCGATCACTTACCTTACACATCAACAACTAACCACCGAACGGACTACAAAACCCTCATCTGCCGAACAGGCTGGCTCTTTCGAAAAAGGGAATACTAATCAATAGAGGGAGAATTTGATTTCAAATGTTTATTTGAGCCGTTCTGTATAACCGTTGCAGCGCTGGGTCTCGTTGGTGGTGGGAGTCGGAAGGATGGATGGATGATAAAACGTACCTTTCGCAGGGTTAGCCGAATAGTGCTGGCGAGCTTCGACGGGTGATACCTGCGGCGACGGCGGCGGTACTTTCAGCAGCGGCGGCCGCAGGGATGCTACGGCGGAGATGTGTGCCGTCCGTATTTTTGCCACGTGGGTTCCACGTACAGTGGAGTCGGTCGAATCCGCTCTGAGACCGTTAACGGCAGGTCCCCAGCGGAGGTGGTCGGGTTACGGTTAATATGCCTACACGCTAGGAAACGGCGTGGCGTGCAGCAGAACGGGCGCGTGAGTATCGGTGGATCTTCTGCTATGACACCGTATAGCGTGGTGTATAGTAGACCTCACAATTGCGGACATGACGATCCAATAACTCACGATTTAGCTCCTCGGAGCGTCACTTGCACCAAATCGACCGAACTTTTCACTTTTTTGTAAGGAATTTGTATATATAGACTTAATTGTTTCCTGGTCCCGACAAGAGTGATCGAGGCCTTGCCAATCCACTCCTCTCCAAGCCATCCATCTCCTATTCCTTTTCTCTTCCATCCTATCCTCTTCTTTTCACTCCCGGATCCAGTGCTGATGTGATGACTCCAATTCCCTTTTTGATCCGCATTACTCCAACAACGGTTTTATACCACTTCATCTCTGGCGGTGGCTCCATAGTAGAATTTATTTTGAATTTATTTTAACAATACTAGGTATCATATTTAATGTTTTTATATTTATGTTTTACTCGCAGTTTTCTATTATTTACAAGAACCAGCCCAAAAGGAAAAGTTTTAATTAAAATCAAAATTCAAGAATACTTAATAAACAAAATGTAACTATAAATTCGGACAGATGACGGTTTATTGTTCCGGATTCTGTGAATCGGTAACAATTTTCCCCTCGGGCGAATCGGAAAATTGTACAATCAATTTTTCGTCAATTCTCTCAATCATGATCTACCAAATATATAACCTGTAAGAAATTAACATATATTGGATGACTGGATCTCTTCATTTAACCACGATTCCCCGTTGTAAACAGACCGTTATCTCTCGTATAGAATATCATTCTTTCTACCCACACTTCACCTTGGCCGTATCGGGGAGAATACTCAAACTTTCCTCACCCTATCGAGTTATCATACTCCCAGCTCTTGTCTCAAGATTGGGACACCTATTTCTCATTTACCTTTCACACGGATACATTCATTCTTCCCGTTCATTGGACGCGTCCTCCATTTCAATCACTTCTCATCATATATACCACAATCATTCCTCTCACTTAAATTAACGTAATGCTAAGCCAGTGACAAAACTTTTCTACTGTCAGCTTGGATCTAATGTATATGTTATTATTGAAGGCTATACTGCCTTGCCAGGAACTTTTTCTGGAGAGTGCTTGTGATCTGAATCTATTCGGGGTCATAGGGCATCAACGTTGATTGATTCAACTCCGCGCAGTTTTCAGGACACATCATGTTTGATTGGCCTGCTACTGACCATCAGCGTCTCATTGACTCCGGTCTCCAGCGACATAAGATTGATCATTTACTACTCTCCAGTGAACAAATCATTTCAATTACAAACCGATCCTGAAATGAGTTATTAATTGCCTACCTTGTAGAGGAACTCATACATCTCTACGATCTCTACCGGTTAAAATTGTTTTACTAAACGCTCCCAAGAGAAAGCGGTATGGGATGTAAGCCGAAATCGAATAATGTCAGAGCAGGAGGTGCTGGAAAAGACTATGCAAGCAACTGTCATTTACCCCGACGAGACGACAAACGCACAACTTCGTTGTGGTTTAATTTATTATTCTACAAAATAAATTTCTCAAAATATATCTTTTTTCGTTTTAGAGAAATTATAAATACTAGCTAGATAACAAGCGTGGGAGTAGTGGAAAGTTCTTCATACGGACAACTTTACACACCAACGGGAAAATTCATAACCTTTGCGAGAGAGGATAGCCAGCCAAACAATCGATTACCACACAATATTCTCGACGAAGTATCATCGAATTCGAACTTAGAACGAACTAGCGGCTTAATACGACCCTCAAGAGTTTATCCTGGCTTAAGGCAAGCAGCCGGCCAAATTCCCAGGTTCTTGCCGTCCAGATCTTCTATTTCATAAGACGAAGTGCCTATGCGAGCTTTGATTCGAGCAGGCAAGTATAGCGGTCCATATCTTATTCCTTTTCTCTTCCATCCTATCCTCTTCTTTTCACTCCCGGATCCAGTGCTGATGTGATGACTCCAATTCCCTTTTTGATCCGCATTACTCCAACAACGGTTTTATACCACTTCATCTCTGGCGGTGGCTCCATAGTAGAATTTATTTTGAATTTATTTTAACAATACTAGGTATCATATTTAATGTTTTTATATTTATGTTTTACTCGCAGTTTTCTATTATTTACAAGAACCAGCCCAAAAGGAAAAGTTTTAATTAAAATCAAAATTCAAGAATACTTAATAAACAAAATGTAACTATAAATTCGGACAGATGACGGTTTATTGTTCCGGATTCTGTGAATCGGTAACAAGTTATAAGAATTATTTTTGTATGTATGTTTAAAGGAGTTTTAAATAAAGTCATTTGAAGGGTTCAACATTATTTACTTTTTATTATTAAAATCGCAAAAAGAAAGAAAATGGTGGTGCACAAACTACAGCCGCCGGGTAGCGCGCCGGGGCGGACAAAAGGCGACCAAAGCGGCTAAAACGATCAGTTTTTTGACAGGTATCGTTTTCGCCTCAGGCGCCCAAATGTTGCAAATATGGTCGCCCCCGGCGCGCCGGCGACCTAATTTGCACCAAGTGGCGCCGCGAGGTTCGAGTCGCCCAAGTCCGCCCCGTCCGCCGAGCGGTCCGGGGGCGAGCCGTGGGCGACTAGCCCGCTGTATGTGGGTTCAGATAAAAAACTTTGGCACCCCTGCAGAGCTGTCCGACTTTTGGTTTCGAGCGAATTTTCGGCAGGCGAAACCCGGCATGTTTTTGACAGACATGTCAAAGATTCTTGCACAGACAAATCTTGTTATGCTGGTCGCGATAGAGTGCCCAGAGTACACAGCAAAAAAAGTTGTTGAATATTACATCGAAACTGCTGCAACCAGGTCAATCCATCGGTTGAGTAATATCACATTGTACGATGTACATCGATTTTGCGAACAAAATTACACCCATTGATGTAATATTGTATCTGCTTTTTGCTATTACATCGATATTTCATACATCAGCTTGAATTACGTTGATCGATATTACATTTATTTTTGCTGTGTAGATGCGACACGCGACCAATTCAAAATAATCAAATTACTACTTAGGCTGTGAACCATTTGCCGAGTTAAATTTAACTCGTGGTTAAAAGTGACATTTCGAAAGTTATTTTCTATGTTCGAAAATCCCCGTGCTGTTGATCGACCGGTTTTCGAGCCACGGTTGTCAAAAGTTAACTTCTTGTCTGTCAGAAATAACCATGCTCGGATAACAGGGTTAATCGATAACTTTTCATCTGTCAAATTTTAACCAAAAGTTAAAATAATCCACCAAATGGTTCAGAGCCTTAATATTATTCCTTGCGTGGGTCACGTTGTGTTTCACGTATACGGTAGAAAGAAAGAAAAAAAGAGGAAATCGGCTTTCCAAATGCTATACGAGAATAATTCTTGACCAATAATTGAAAAGGGCCTATCGGTTTTTGTAAACAAAGCTTTGTAACCCTAATAAAAATGGTATGGTTAATTTGCTTAACGACGTGTTCTGGGTATCATCCAAACCATTTTTGGAATAGTTCAATGATTTGGGCTATCGTACGATAATGGTTATTTTTTTATTAGGGAAGCCCTTTCTATTTGTTTTACCAATTTTACCCATTCGTGGTATATTCCTCGATATATTCCACCTAAATTTGACCTTCGAGTTCACTAATATTACAAAATTTTAACATATTTTTAACTTTGATTACCATGGCAATTACCGTTCAAGTTCTCAAACCATAAATCCGATAAGCAAAATTTTGAATACTAATCGTTCTGAATAGAGAAAGCACGCTAGACTCTCTCTAGTTCTGAACAAGCCTTCATTTCTATGGTCCAGCTACAAAAAAATAATACATAAGGTTAAAACTTTATCCCATAAACGTTCATATATATAAAAATCCGTTAAAGAGCTCCGTTTTCAAAGCACATTTTTTCATCCCATATATTTATATGGAATATATAAGTTTTTTATCTCGATTTTAAATCAAGATATAAAGCAAAATAATAATTTCACTTTTATACACCAAAGTCACACCGAGACGCGCTAAGAGGGTGATTTTTGCTATATAATCACAGTTATTTAAAATAGTTCCAGTGCACCAACATTTATGAAACTTTGAATTTCGGTTCCATTCCTGAGACAAATCAGTAAATAATAACCTCGATAATAACTGAATGCAAAATGCGTTTTGTGAATTATGTATTGAAAAATGCAAAAGAATTAATGCGTTGAAAAATACACGACAGTGTTTAAAACATACACTCAAAAAATGACAATGCGCACAAAAATTCGTTAAGTATGCCAATGCGCTGATTAGTGCGCGATCGATTTGACGTTAAAAAGTATTGAATGCACTTCCCTAATAAACAAATACCATAAACGAATGGTAACCCGGATGGTAGAGCTATCTCAAAACAAATTTCAATGATACCTCGAATACGTCGTTAAGCTCTTCTAGCACACAAAGAAAAATCGTTGCTAAAAAATGGTAGAATTAAAAGCTTGCATTGGTTCTTTTTGGTTGAAAGCGGCTAGCTTTCAAAACGAAAGTCAGCCAATTTTAAAATCAAATGTTGCCAATGGCTACTTTTAAAAGTTGAAACTTTTGACATTAATTGTACTACTATCAAATGAAAAGCATGGCAATCCCACATAAACAATAACCATAAGAAGTGCCTAACCTCTAATTCGGGTTATCATCCCAACTTTATATGGTATGGTCGTGAATGTATGGTACCCGTTTATTTGGGGTGTTAACATTAAAAGCGGATTATTTTTGTTGTATTTATATTACTCATCTTCTTTTTCATACATCGACATTTGACTTTGTGTTCGTGAAATTGTGTTTGGAGATCTTTATTCATTATTTATCAGTGATTTTATTTAAACGTCTTTCTATTTTTTGTTTTCAGTAGCCCTTTTAAAAAACGACTCGATCATTTGAAAAGATTTTCGTCCGTTCGTTTTCGCTTTCGCCCGCACTAATACACATTTACCATTCCGTCGTCTCGTCAGTTTCAGTTGTAAAGCCCGCAAAAGTTGTGCTCGTTGTGCTTTTCCTCCATCATTGCTCGAAGATCTGGAAAATCTCTGGTGTGGTGTCGGTTGTTGCTTGTAATCTCTTCCGCTATTTACAAAACTTTCTACTTTATTAACCGGGAAGTTCTTTGGTGGACCATGAGCAAAAGATAAACGGTCTAAATTGTTCGGATTTTGGAAGGTGTTTCGCGAGTTACGGCTTTCCACATCGTCTCCCGGAGAGCTCGGATATTCTATTGTTCAAGCATTATTTCAAAGTTCAACGGTCACCGGTACAATTTTTGCCTTCGGCCGTTCAATGAAAATAGCTTTCTTCTGAGATTGCTAGATTAGCCGGAGAAAATTGAGTTAGTTTACGTTTACAATACATTTTCGACCGTTTATCGGAGGCTTCTGTCAATTTTAAAATTGCCACCAAGAGCAAGAATCGAGGAAGAAAAAGAGACTAGTGTTTAGTGTCGCGACAAACAGGAATAAGGACAGGAGGCAGTGAAGAACAAGAGAGCCAACTGGAGTCGGTTGGTTTCCTCTTCAGCTCGGTGGTTGTTCTATTCATTTTATTGTTCTCTTTGCGACTTGGACCGGAACTGCGTTGTGAAAATACAGGAAAAGATGAGTTCTGCCAAGCCTGATGATAAAACCTCCGACATTCCGGAGCGGTTGTACGATGCAACGACAAGAAGGACCTACAAAAGGCTGCGGTTTTTCGGCAAGGTAAGAGTTGCATGTTTTGCGATGGTGGAGTTGGTGGCTTGTTTTAATTTTGCGGATCTACGTAGTACCGCTAGTATCCATAATGAGCATTATAATATGAAATAAACTAACGAAAATATATGATTAGTTAACTGATATAACTATAGCTAATCGGTTATTTTAAGGAATACAACGAAAACCTTGTTTATTACTTCTAACCTCAATTTCAATGCATCTCCATCATCCGTTCTCTGTTGATCTGGAAGGATGCTGTTTATACTATGCGGGAAGTGGTATTATCCGCTTTTGCGGTTTCAATAGGAATGATATCCAAACCAAAATTAGACTGATGGCTAGTTTTCTAGTTACTTGGATTGGAAAGTGTACCCTTCAACACCAGGAAGATTCAAACAAAACTTGAAACATATTTTCGACCCTGAAAACGTAATGTTTTGTAGCCAAATCAGTTTTCAGGACGACCTAAACCTTGAACAAACTTCTTTTTCTTCTTGTTTATTACGTCCCAACTGGAGATTTACGTTTTTTTTTAACTTTATTTTTGAGATTTTTAGCCGTGGCTAGTTCATCTCGTCCATGAAAGGTTGGCCCGTAGAAGGAGGACCCCCAACAGGGTAGTTTTTACAGTGTTTACTTCAACCGAAAATTGGTTCCTGGCTCGATCTTACATTTACACAACATATTAAAGACACAACATTAAAATCTGAATAAGACAGAGCTCCACACCGGGAGAACCGGGAGGGCCCCCACCAGGCAGAGATGTCCCAACAGCCGAAAGGAATTTTAAAATACTAAACTTTAAAATACAATGCAGCATCCTTTAAAAAACGCATTACTGCTGCCAGTGTTGAGGGATCATCACCCAGCATGTCGCGTATGCTATTTGGAAGCCCTTGGAATTCCCGTAGGTTTTGATACTGAGGGCATACGCATAGAATGTGCTCGATTCAGGCTGGAGTTCTACAACCGACGCAAGTCCTGTGGAACGGCGTTCCACCGAAATTATGCGAGATCTTGGTGTGACCGATCCCGCTGGTTCAACTGTTCTGTCCATTTCCTCGTCGTCCCTTTGATCCGTCTGATGAAGACGGAGCGGTTTTAAGCCCACTCTGCGTCCCAAGCTTCCCGTACTTTGCTCACGATCCAGCACTTGACATCGTGTAATGGTACTTTGTTAGTATAGTGGGGGGCAGATGGTCCTGCCCCAGCCAGAAAGTCAGCTTCAGAGTTGCCTGGTATTCCGCAGTGCCCCGGAACCCAGCAGAATACCGTGTTTGGTGGCGCGGACTTCATCGTCGCCTGTACCCAGGGATGAGTCGGGGCCTCGGATGTCAGGGCTTGTATGACGCTGTGCGAATCCGTGGGGACCAGGATCGGTCGATTGGAGAGCGTTGTAGCAGCGATGAAGATGGCAGCAGCTTCAGCAGAGAAGACAGAACATTGCGGCGGTAAGCTGCAGCTGGTTAGTGTGATGTTTCCGGCTAGACCGATGCCGACCCCGGCCCGAGAGCGAGATCCGTCCGTGTATCGGTGAGTGTGCGTGGGGTATTTTTCTCCTAACATTTCAGCTACAGTCCTTTTCATGGTCACGGGATTGTCTCCGGCTTTGAACCTGTCCTTATTCCGGTTTTCGATTTTCGGTAATGGTGTTTTCCAGCATTTGTCTCCATGCCAGTGGATCCTGGCCACTGGGGGGAGATCTTCGTTGGCAGCCGTGCGGAGGAGTCTGTTCCCCTCGTCGAGGAGGAAGATCCCTTGATTTCCGGATGTCTTCGAGATGAAAGCAGCGGCTTTGGTTGCGATAGCTGCGGTTATACGGAATCGGAAATGCAGGATGTCTGCGTCGATGCATGCAGCATCAGCGGGCGTGGATGGCACCAGGCCAGAGACAATCCGGGCGTAGGTGTTGTAGACTGGTGCTAACGTAGCTAAAAGCTTATCCGTGGCGATGCAGGTCATCTCCAACCCGTATAGAAGGCGACTGTCGATAATTGCACTCGCCACGTGAAAACGGATGCTGCGGTTATTCGATCTATTCTGTCGGGAAATGGTTCGGATGAGATTCACTCGGCTGCGGCACTTTTTTTTTCTTGACTGCACTGAAATGCTGTTCAAAGTTGAGGAATCGGTCAACGAGAACTCCCAGAACTCGGACGGTCTTCTTCAGCGGTATGGACTGGTCGTCGATTTTGATCGGTGGTCCGCTAATTCTGTGTCGAGAAGGGCAGACATGGCACCTGATGTTTTTAGAGGCTGATAATTCAAAGCCTACTGAGTGGGCCCACCTGGCGACGTCGGAGACTGTCGCTTGGGTTCTCATCCTTGTGCGTACTGGCGTGCGTCCGGTGGTGACGATGAGGATGTCGTCGGCGTAGACGAACACAAATATGTACTTCGGTTGGAGATTTACGGCTGTCCTCAACTTAGTGTTCTTTGAGTACTTTCACATAAATTCAGCAATCAACTAAATTTTCAATAGATGCCAAAAATATCCATTAGTACCGTCCCAATGACGCGTTCATCTAGATAAAATTGATAAATAGCAGATTTTTAGCGATGGGCCCAATCTTGGATCTATATGCCATTTCCCCTATGTTCTTTTTTTCTGAAGATTATTTCGGGGACACATATTTCAGCATTTCAGAAGATTTGCAGTGCAAGGCGAAGGAAATAGAGTACATAGTACAATAGATGAATGATAGATGTTCAGGACTTATAACTCATCAGAAGACATATAAATCCTAGGTGCAAATTCGAACGAACCTTCTGAAGTTACATAAACTGCAAAGATTATCCAGGTAAAAGTAGCAGACCATTAAGTTCGTTTTATTTGGAAGTCCAAATAACTTCTTGAATAATTGCAGTAACCTAGAAAACTTATGAATATGTCCAGTACGTCATTACCCCGGATACCCCATTTCCCCGAGTGCCATATCCCGAAAAATGTTATAATAAAGAAAGTCACAATTTCTTAAAATTTAATCACTAAAGTCACTTTTTTACGACCAATGTTGTAAAGCATTTTCCTTTAAAAACATACATCAAATCATAATTTGATTCGTTAAAAAATGTTTGTTAGAAAGATTAATGAAAATTCAGTGTGTAAATTTTTACAAGAAGAGTTGCGAACGAAAGGAAACGTTAACAAACTGTCTAATTCTCGACTACTTTTTTAGAAGGGACGTATCAGCTTTTGTAAACAATACATTTTTGATCGTCGGTTTGGCGTAACTGATAGTTCGCCCACGCATACTAATACCACTATCAGGTAGGGGAAAATTTCCCCTATCTGATGGTAGTGGCATGCGTGGGCGAGCTACCAGTTATGCCAAATCGACGATCAAATGCATTGTTTACAAAAGCTGATACTTCCCTTCGAAAAAGTAATCGAAAATTGATGATAACTTTTCAATTCCGTTATCATATAGAAGCCTTCAAAATTTGTCCAGATTATAAAATTTCACATTTCTTTCATTTCCTGTGATCTCCAAATTAGATCTATCACAAATTTTCAGAGTTTCCGAAAAAAAATTATGGACCTAATATCACGAAGTAAAAATAAAGAAAGTTTTCCAAGCTTAAGCGTTTAAAAATGTTCCAGGAAAATTTTAAAGCACTAGTTTTTCTCTAAAAGACTCTAAAATTTATCCTTCGATATTTTTAGTCCTAGACGAATGCATTTTTTTATTTCCGTGCTCTTTACATCTTGGAAAATTATCCTCGTTCATGAATAATGAGATGTTTTCTTAGGTTGCGATCTAGAAAAGTTGTCTAGGTTCCAGAGTAGTTATGAAATTTAACTATGTTGAAGTGTTATAGAAGTTTGACTTGTTCGATTCTTCTAAATCCGTTCGTTCTAATTACCAACTCATCTGCATCTAATATCAATTTAGTAAATTGTATATTTAAAAACGAGATGGACAAAAAAGTGAAGAGTGAAAAAATTGAGTTTAGAATTGGATCCCCCTGCGTAGACAATTGTCCATACACAATTTTTTAAATTTGTATGGGCCGTGGATAATTGCCAACAAAAATTCTATCCGCCCCACCCGCCACTACCGTCGCATGGACCTAATAAGCTGGATCATCCGAGTCTTCTGGAAGGCGTGGCGCACCCCAGCTGCTCTACTGAGCTTCCTACGAGAGACAGGCCTATTTCACCGGATTTCACCTCCACCAAACCTGACAACGCCGCCGGTAATGGACCCTTCAACTACTGTTTATCCTTCTGTCTATTTTGATCTATTCTTTCTATCGCGCTCGCATGCCATAGCAGCGCTGTTTTTTTTTTAAATAAAATGCATTTAAATGAGTGTCCTTGCCCCTGGCATGGGGTCAGTTTTGAGCATCTCAGCTAGTATGTAATCGACCCCGGGCAGCCTTGTTGGAGTTCATGCACCGGATACCTAATTCTTATATCTAATTCTAAAACAGTGCTAGAGTGGAACCAGCTGGTGATGTCGATTTTGAAGCTTGTGTTTGGTCAAGGGGTAGGTCACTCCGCACACCAATCATAGGTCAGGTTTTATCAGTGTGCTGCTGCAGGTGTGCCGGCCATAGAGCAAGCTGCGATTGTTTGTAAAATACCCAACCCAGCAACCTGGTATTTCTGACATCTTGAATGTTTTGGTTTGAAATCGCAATGCTAAATCGGTGGCAGTGGCAACTAGAAATACTCAGAGGAGAAAGTCGACGAAGAGAATCTATCAATGTTACTTAGGACCTAATGCAATGTTCATCTTGAATAAACGTTTCTCGGTGCGTTTGCTCTTGCTTTTGATAGCCAATACAACCTGTTACATCTCTACATGGAACAAATTCTGGAAAATTGAACGTGTTTCGTTTAGTTGTATCAATGCAAAGGGAAAATCAATGAAGAGAATCGATCATCGCGTATACGCCCTTATGCATGCTCACTGTAAAATTAATGAAACTAGAAGGTAACCTACTGTGCTCAACTTGTCGGGGGGTTCGTCAATGCTGAAACATCCTCTCCGCCTTGA